ATTGTTTTATCGCATGACGGAAACAGTGTTTCCGAAAAATAAGCCCGCAATTTTTTAAAAGCAGCATTTACTTTTCGAGAGATAACATTCAATCAAGACCGGAAATTTGAAAACGAGTATATTGCAAGTTGACAAAGTTAAGTCAGATATAACGGTGCATCGTAAAGAGACAGCATCACAACGGGGATGCAATGAAAAACAATGACAAATATAGAATAGCAATAACTCGTTACTTGTCTTTTTGTATGCAATACGCTATCAAACATGGAAACAGCCAAACCGACCATGCTGACTCGATATATTTTATTAATACCAATAAAATTAATAATTCATAACGTAAAAGACCTCATTTGTCGTATCTTCTGCCAAATTATTTTGGTGGCTGCAAGAAAATAATAATAAAGATCTAGGAGGGTAGGGGTTAGCTGTTGTTTAAAAAGTTCCATGTGTCGTTGGACTCTCACCGCATTCTGTGGCAAACAGATGTGTTTTTCCGAAAGATCGGGCGTCAGTGAAAGCCACTGTGGCCTAGGGCATCCTTCACAATGCAATTAATTTTGTCCGTTGTTAGCAACCAGATTGGCCAAATCTGACGACCATTCTCAGCGTCAGGCGTAGACAGTACTTGCAAGTTTTAGTCAGCGCAGCATATTTCTGTTGAAAGTTCTTTCACCCTTGTTGGCCTGTCTAAAAATAAGACCTTGCCTGCGGGGTAAACGCCTTTCCAGAATAAAGGCTTGTTATTAAGATACGACTTTACAAATAACAGACGCCAGGTGAGCAGTTTTGTCCTAGAAAATAGTGTTTTTACGGTTTTCTACGGATGAGAACCACACTTTGCCATCATCTTTCCTAAGTGTGCCCAGTGAGGCGTCAACAAGTGCTCCACAGGTAAATAACTTCTACGGCCCAACAGTGAAGTTATTTTGCTATTCGACGAGTAACATCCTCATCTTGTTTGCCTCTAGACCCCTCAGCCTCTCCTCGCTTATTTGTAAGCAATATTCAACACTGTTAATTTTGGGAATACTTCTTAACTGCACTAGCCCAAGCTCTGTAGCTGCCGATTTCCCTGTCCGCCCAAAGGCGCAATTGTAATACGGATTATCTTCTGGCAAAATCCTACAATATTTCCAACTTGGCAGGATGTCAGTTTTTAAATACACTACTTTTCAAGCTCCTGTAGAAAACGTACTCGGTAAAAACGACTACTTAATTGACATGCATATTTCCAATTGATTTTCGTTGGCCTTGCAAACTGAAACATATTTTAAAGAAACCTCAAAAAAAGATATACAGTGGGTGACCCAACTTATGAACTGTGCCGAAATTTACGAATGATTACTAATCACTCGCAAACGGACACTAATCCGTGGACCCAATATATATTTTAATAAAGCACAACTTTAAGAGAATTAAAGCCAGATAATAAAGGCAGTTCTGTGTTGTTTGGAAAGGCCAATTTTTTAGAAAGGCGTAAAATCTCGAAAATGTCAAAAATGGTTATAATTTAGAAGACTTCACTGTCAAATATTCGAAACGCCTGCCCATGGAAAGAATTGAGTGAATATGAAAGCACAAATAGAATAACAGATAAAAATGTTGTATTGAATTGTACATTTAAATAACCTTTAAGCATTAGTGTCACACCAGATATGGCGCCTCGCCAACAGCCTACATTCTCGGTTCAGATTCCGAAACAGTTTCCCGAGGATTCGTGCTATCCTTTAGTCTTTTTAATTAATTGAGATGCGGTTCAATAATAAAAGCGAGATGTCGCTTAATTTCGCCGACAGGGACATCATAGGAGCAAGACTTTTCATAAGGTGACATGTTGGCTTTCCGATTAGGGCTAAATAATTTTAAATAGAATTGACATTGTAATCGTAAGTATACCATTTTATGTTTATGCAAAGAACTTCCTTTCCGTTCGTTCAGGATTATGTTGAGCTGTAGATCGGCTTTGAATTATCGACGAATATCTCACGATTTTCAGTGCTTTCATCCGATCACCCACAAGGACAGATTCTGTATTATGCGTCTGTTAAAACTTTAAAATTGGGCACTTTTTGGAAGCATTTGCGGAAGTCGCGAGTGTTTGGGCTTTCTTTTACATTTAGAACGTCACATTTAAAGACTCACCCTAACAGGAACCCTCATCGTCGAATAGAACTGACGTCCACAACGAAAGTCAAAAACTAATATGCCTTAGATCAATCAGGAAACTTTCTCTAATAAATGACCTCTACGAGGTGTGCTTTGATACTGGATTCCGTTGACTCGTGTCTGAGTACTTTATTTTGTTATGGAGTGAGGCCAAAAAATTAGCACTTTCGGCCGTTTCTTTCACTTTGCTATAAGATACTGAGATTTGTCGACCGCAAACGCAAGAACACGCCTTTTGCTTCATATTGCGGCAATTTGAATTGTTTTTGCATAAAGGTAGACTCCGTTCTACGATTATGAATGCACGGCACATTAGCTATATACATTTATATTTTGTTAAAGATGTTAACATTTTGCTCGTTTCATTTCTGAATTAGTTACGTGCAGAAGCTAGACTGTACAACACGTAATATTTAATATGTTCAAAGCTGAAAATAATAGTTCGGTGGTGGTTATTCCTGTGAAAACACGCAAACAATTTTAGTTCGTTTAAATGATTGCCTGTGTGCGTTATTACTGCACTTCAGGGCACAAAATAGCACAGATCTGCTGATCTGACTTCTATAGATCGACAAAATATCTGGTTTTCTTAAAATAACCTTTGATTGAGGGAGTTGACTACTACGGTTACCGTCGGACAAAAAATTAATTTTCAAGCCGGACAACCACTGCTTATTAAAACTTCCTGGAGGAAATTACTTTCCTTCCAGGGAAAAACCCGTTCAGATGGGTAACCGAAGTCTAGCGCACGTACTAGCATAGGAAATTGCCCGAGTATACTGTGACGTCCATTTTCGACCAAATTTATGAATACGTTGCTTTAAAAAATCACGTGGACACTATTTCTGCGTAAGATGAGGACATTTTCTAAAAGTAGCTGAGCGGGCAAGCAAAATGCGCAACGTCTGAAATGTCCCGAATTCTCACATCAGATTCTGTGAGCAGGTTTCATGAGATAGGTCCGTACTGTACTCTCTTTCAGTCGCTTGATAAAGTAGGCCTTATCTCTATATTTTATGCTCGAAAAATGAGTAAACTAAGGTTTTGAAAAGGTTTTCTGATTGCCAAATAATTTGGAGCCTGCTCAGTTGTTGCACTAGCGCTTGGTGATTTCAGTCTACAACGTGCATGCGCTCCGCGTAAATAAGGTCACATATTTCTATATGTCTTTAAAAAGATATCATATAAAGTCTTTAAAATTTTGTAGCGGATGAGGACTATGTTGTACATTTCACAAGGAGCAGTGGTAAACAGATCGGCACGATGATACATGAATGAATATTGTGTGGTCTTAAAAATCTCATAATTAGGAACTTTTTCAAAACCTTATTATAATCTCTCTTCGATCATGAAATGGAACGATGAATTGGTTCTCTATCGAACGTCTGGATCAAAACCTATTTTGGTTTGAGGTTTCTATAAAATATATTCGCATTTTCAAGACTAACGAAAATCAACGGGAAACGTGCATGCCACATAAGTCGTCGTTTTTTAGCAAGTACGGTTTCTAAAGGAGTTTGAAAAGTAGTGTATTCAAAAGCTGACATTCTGCCGAATTCGAAATATTATAGGGTTATGCCGCAAAATAATCCGTATTAGAATCGCGCGTAAGTAAACCTTTGTAGTGGAGCGCATTTTTAAATTTCAGCCAACATTTCATGAGATGGGCAACTCAGTGTACACAGCGCGCGAAAAACGTCATTACCTCTTACCAAGACTTTCAGTGAATACTTTCTTTTCTGTATAGGTCAACCCAAAGAACAACATCAACGAAACTGTAACATAGCAACCGTACACATTTGTGCTAAAGTAGAATGGCTCTCTTGGGTGTGCAGCCAGTGCATATGCGTTAATGCAACATATCAAAAATTCTCCCACATCATTTGGCCCGGGAAAACAGGCCTACTCTCCGCTCTATCCCCTCACGCTTGTCCATTAATACACCAAAAAAGAGAATGCCATTAAATTCTCATAAGCTTCTGGATTGCTAAAAAGCGCCAACATACATTTTGTACGGTGCATTCGGACACCGATGGCAGAGGCGACAGTAGTCGATACACGTTGTCGCCCACCAGCCAGGTAGGCATCACATAGATGAGTCGGTGGCATTCGCGAGATGAGAGAAGGTCGACATCCATTTCCTAGATTTTGTGAGAAAAATACGGCAGGGGATTTGTGATCATCGTCACTTTGAGGCACTTACCGACCGTAGAGAATAGCACTGTGAGGTACTTATACTTTGCTGGACGTGCCTTCGCGTAAAAACGCAGATTTCACACTAATGCTATGCACTTTTGATGTTATTTCGCTACTTACCGCACAGTAGAAGGCAAAATGCACATTTCTTGAAAAGGCTTATTAACTTGCCTGAGAATCAGAAACCCAACGGGAGTTCGTTTTCGATGGTGACGACAAAGAAGTCATGAGGGGTCCGAAGTCACTGACAGTAGTAAACAGCAGGTACTGAGAGGTTGGAGTTGATAGTACTGAACCCTGCGTGGAAGTAGGCAGTCAATGCGCCAGTTCGGGTGAATCATCTCAATGGCCTGAGTTTCAGTACACTGGAAGTGTTTCTACTGTTCAGGTTACGGGAAATGCTTGTCCCGTCATGCCTTTACGCTGAACATGACATTCACAGAAGGCCGATAATACAAAAAAAGGAATAACGACAGGGACGGGGAAGACTGGCTCGTTACTTGTAGTTTCGCAAAAAAAATTCACACAGGATTTCGAACTGGACACTCCTCAAGCCCATATGCTTTAGCTTTTATTAAGCACTATTTGTTCAAGGCATGTCTAAAACCTTCAACTAATTCGTCGGCAGGTTCAGTGTAATGCCCTTATTATGTGGAGAAGATGGTGATGACGCCCAAGACGAGTCTGTCGATTCTGATGCTGCTGCTGACGATGACGATGATGGCGGCGGCGGCGGCGGCGGCGGCGGCGACGACGACGACGACGGCGATAATGATGAGGATGATGATGATGGTGGTGGTGGTGGTGGTGGTGGTGGTGGTGGTGGTGGTGGTGACGATGCGGAGGAGGAGGGGGGGAGGAGAAGAGGATTCTTCTGTCTGATAATATAAACTACTGCTGGAACATCGCATCTGAAATATCAGAATGTTATGATACTGAACGCGCTGAAGGCTGCAGTAATTAGTGGCTCTAGCTCCTTCGTCTCCATACCGTCGGCAAACTGGCACTTTCCACATTGCCGCAGGTATTAGATGGTGTGATTATCATCTCGTCGATCATGTCTGATCTGTTAATGATTAAGACCTTATCAACCGTTTTGGTACTTGGCGTGATGATGACTAAACAATTTGGTTCAGCCAAGCAGCCTCTGGATGCAATGTCCACCGGCGAGTTCTTCGCGTGCATAATTTCTCTGCAGAGGGATACCCTATAGGAGAAAGGAACCTATCATTTGTCCGACATTTCTCATTCCAGAGGAAGCAGAAAGGAGTAGCGTATGCAACGCTTTGCGTAGATAAGAGAATAGGCGAGTTACAGGATGCAGTTCAGAAAAAGAATATGCGACTGCGGGACAAAGATGTTTATTTGCCTTCTGTTCCTGATTTTCGCTCGGACCCATCATAGAAGACAGGGGCAGAAAAGGGCGGCAGAGGCACATGGAGCGTATTATTTATAGGATGCAATGGCCAGGCAACCAAACGCCTACAATAATTAGCAGCACTCGCGGCTATCGCTGGGGGCTGTATTTGATGCGACGATGGCTTGCCAGTCCGCACCCGAGTCGTTAATACCTGTGATTTTATCATCGTTATTGATCCTTAGTGTAATGATTACTCAACCCCTTGGCTCATTGTGGCCAGAACTGTTGGTCATCCGCTCTCCACTTGCATAGCTAATTATTTTTGACCAGGCAAAATCGCAGCATAGAATATGAGGGCGGAAGGCCATTGCGTTTGTTCGTTGAATGCGGACCGGAGAGCAACGACTCAGACAGTGACTGTCTCTAATGACGGGTGCGAGTGAGAATCCGAAATGTCAGGCCAATAAACTGCTTGTTCCAGCGATCACAGCTCCTTCTACTGAGATAGGACATTTGTAAAATGCCGCACCGTTCCGTCATTCATGATAGATATTCGGAGATAGCGTTTGGGTAGGCGGATGATTGATTCCGGGTTGTTCTGGAGGCACGGCAGCATCTAGCACGATTTGGGCCTAGTGTGGCCGAATTCTTCGTCTCGCCTTCGCAAGCAATGGTTGTCGATCTTGGATGGGTAGCCATCTGTCCCGAGCACACTTTAATGATATTGCAGATGAGCAAGATCGTCATCCGATTTGTTGACATTTCTCCCACAAAGCGCTTTGGGCGTTCTTGCGCACCCGAGTTTGCGGCCGATTGAGTAGTTGTTATTGATGCTCAAAACGTTGTCGTATCTATCGCTTTCCTGAGCACTTGGACAAGATACCTTTGGGATAGAGTCCGAAACATTAGGCGAATAAAAATGCTCATTCCAGAGATAGAAATTTCTCGTCGACTACTTCCTGTAACGTATCGGTCTGCTTACAGAGTTTGACCACTCTCATGAAGTGTTGGCCGAAATTCTGAAATGCGTTTCGATTGGGATGGGTTAAATAGGTGTATTTGTAATACTGCTTGTCAAGCGGCATAATCCTATAACATTCCAGACGCAGCAGGATGTTGACTATTGAATGCACTTTTATTCGACCTCCTGTAGAGACCGCATTCGGTAGAAAATGACTATTCAAGTAGCATGGAAGTTTCGCATTGATTTTCGATAGTGTTATAAATTTAAATATATTTCATAAAAAAACATCGACAAAATGCCTTTTACCCATTTGATAGAGAATCACGTCATTTTTTTATTGCATTCTCGAAGAAAGAGTACAATTGGGTTTTGAAAAAGTTGTTAATTATCAGATTTTTAGGGCCGTGCAATGTTCTTTTACACAGCATCGTACCTGCTCGTTTACCACCGCCCCTCATTAAAAGTACAGCATAGTCCACATTTATTGCAAAATTTTGGGAACTGTATATGATATCTTTTTAAAAGCATAGAAGCATATATGATTTCTTATACACGGAGCGCGTGCACCTTGTAAACTGAAATCACTAAGCGTTAATGCAACGGCTGACTAGGGCCAAATTATTCGGGAATTAGAAAACTTTTTAAAACCTAATTATACTCTTTCTCCAAATGCTCATGAAAACGATAAATACGACCACACTTTGCACAGCACTAGCAACCACTCAATCTCCTACAACCGAAAAGTGCCCTTATTTAAAAACAAGTTTTGATTATGACGCAGTTTCTTGTGAAAATTATCCTATCACATTATGCACATATCCTTGAGGAGGTATGTCTGGTCTACACAGGTATGAAAAATCAACAGTAGAAAAACAAACCACTTAAGTTGTCACTGCCAGACTAACGTACTTCTTCATTTTACCTAGTAGATGCATAATCTATTATCGCCTTCCAGGTAAGTGAGACATGATTTAAGGTGATGTCCGACGTTTACCAGTTCTGCAGTTTTACTCATACGACACTCATAGTAATTTTTCATGAGTTTTGTCACATGTGACAGTCTGACCATCGCGCACGATGTCCTCCGCGTTCACCACGGAGTGGGCGCGGCACCAGTGAGTTACGCGTGAATTAGATCTTAGTGGGGCAGACTTTCGCGGAATCTGTCCCAGTCCGTCCTCGCCCACACACCAGGCTCCTATGGCGGGACAATATTAAGGCGACCGGAGTTGGGTTCGGGCGCAGTGACTGACGAAACTAGACGCCCCGTCTACGCGTGCCACACATGATCTGGTTTCCGTGAAACGTGTCAGGCTTTCATATAAGGCGGCTCAGAGTTCGCACGCATGACAGAGCCGTTAACGTCACATTAAAAGGGCGCCATTGAGCTCGTCCCTCGAGCCTAACCAGCAGCGGACAGCATAGCCAGAATAACATTACTGACAAAGATACGGGAGACTAGAATGGCCATTTCCTGCCTATTAGACGTCGTCAACCGGTCATAGACAACCCCGAAGAATGGAACACCTGAGGCTCGATCCCCAGAAACAGCCATTCCAGTCTTCCTTTTCTTTGTCGGTAATGCTATTCTGCCTGTATTATGCGCCGCTGTGCGGTTACTGGTTGGGCTCGAGAGAGATCCCTGAGGCACACGGGGACGAGTGAATTCCGTAGGAAAGATAGGTGAGCGTCGCCCTCTAACATTGTATATTCCCGATCGCAACCGACAGGACGGCGCACTCGTGGCCCAGTGGCTAGGGGCGTTGGACTTCTAACCAGCAGGTCGCGAGTTCGAGCCACAGGTGTTGCACACTTCGTGGTTGGGTATGACTGGCTGATGACGGCTAGCAAGCCAGAAATAACCATTCCAGTCTCCCTTATCTTTGTCGATAACGCTTTTGAGCCACCCTATATACAAACGCAGCACTGGCCACACGGACCAAGTTGACATTCTTCCAAACCACGAGTTTTACTGTATCGCGATAGAACCAAGCGCCTCAGATACATTATAGTAGTTAATTCAGCGGTTTGCCGTGGGGAGAGACTCCCTAGCGTTGGCCTCACTTTCTCCCCTCTTTCTACTGTCCAAGTCTGTCAACCAACTGATAATGGGTTTGGGCGCAGTATTTGACAAAGCTAGACAGCCTGTCTACATGTGTCGCACACGACTTGATCACCATTTAATGAATTAGGATATATCAGTAAACGCGCTTCCTACTTACGTCGGATGTCCATATTCTGACAAGTGACCTTTAATCGACGAGGCTGATCACATGCCTGCTGTCGGGAGGAGGTATGATTACTGCGGAGTGTAGCGCGTGGTGAGGAGCGGATTCATGCACAGTCTGGTGATAGATATGTGGGCGAGTAAGGCGGGTTGTCGTGATGGGGTCTGGAGCGCGGTTCTGTCTAGCATTTGCCTGAGGCGCGTGTGCCCGAATAAGCTCGTGCGACGAGCGAATGTCGTCAGGCAGTGTGGGCAGCTAGTACTAGTTTGCCGATCTCAGTGCAATAGATTCACAGGCTACTGGCCAGGCCAGTGCGTGATGTAAAGATGCGAGCGCGATGGGGACAGGTTGGGATTAATCTCGCATTGCTGGTGGCAGAGCCAATAGTGGTGATGGGTAGCATCACATAGGTAAGCTCATGGGCATTTGTGAGATGAAAGAAAGTTGGCATTCATTTCCTAGGTGTTGTGCGATAAATATGTCAGGAATTTGTGATCATTGTCATTTCGAGGCGCTTACAGACCGGCTAGTACTGTTTTTACGTGAGGTGACTAACTGGCGGACGGAGAGCCAAGCACTTGTGCCCCGCGGATCTCCTTCGTTGTCTTAGCAGCAACTATTCGGTTAACTTCGAAGATGGCTGCTCCAATCTTTGAGACAGTGTGCCATGCCTGCTTATCTAGAGCGAAGTTCTCTCCGGTTGCCAGGTTGGTTTGCAGGCGTGTGAGTAAGGTATTCATGGGCTCCTCATAGCGACGCATTTGTTCGCTTTGTCTCCCACAATCTGCAGATATGTTGACGTGGAATAGACGCTTGGCAGACGCTCGTCGTCCATTCACACGAAATGGCCGCACCATCGCAGCTACACCTACCTCAGCACGATGTGAATACTGAGGACGCCGGTTATTTCCCAGGATCTCAATGTTTGCAATCCCTCCCTGCCACTTCATCTCCAGCATTCTCGGAGGTAGCTGACTTAAAGGTGGTTGGGGCTTTTTCCTTGATCTGCATAAATGGTTCACTTTTCCGCCCTGTAAAAGAGAGTTTTTAGGAATAACAGCCCCCGTACATCTTCAAGTTGTGTGTTGAGTGAAATGTTCCGATGGTTCCAGTTGGAGTGCTTTGGCTGGCGGAAGGCCTAGCTGGATTTGGATACCCATCACACAATGATGTGTCTCGAAATTATAATTTCAAGTATGCAATATTCTGGACTGCCGTTTGGTGACTCTCACTGACAGTAATCAGCTTTAGGCACCGGTTGGTGCAGTATCACCGCTGTCTCCGTACCAACGGTCATTCCAAAGTTGGACCAGCCGGAAGCGAAGAGGTCCACACTCC